TTGATCCGGGAAACAAAGTGTTAATGAAGTTTTCTTTATAACCATCTATTCCCAAATCCAGTGCCTTTCAAAGGGAATTTCTGCTTCTGCCTTTTTACTTACAAGTAGAATTTACTTCAAATGGCATCACAGACATGATAGTGCTAGTAGGCCAATCACCCATGGAAGAAGAGTTAGATCATAAGAGAAGAGGGGGAGAGAAAGATAAAGAAAGAAGCCTTTTTCAGTACAAAGCATGGAAGCACAGGTTAGACAAACACTTGTTTGGGTTAGTTCAGAAAGGAATGGTCCTGCCTTGATGTTGGATTAGATGATCTTCTGAGGTCCCTTCCAGCCCTATTTTCCTATAATTCTCTGGATCTCTGAAGTTCAGATCAGAGATGTAAATTGAATCCAGATTTCAATTGGCCTCTTAACAAAAGGTCCGTATTTCCAAAAGGGTTAATGACACAGCATTAGGGCAGCCAAAGATACTCTCAAATAGAACAGGGAGCCCAGCTTTGAAATTACCATGTGAAGGGGGGCTATTACAGTCTCTTGCGTACATTCTACGCAGTCAATTTCCATTGATCTCCCTGGGGTTGGCACCATAAATGGTCTTCACTGAGCGTCAAACCTGACACTCCCTCTGTCTGAAACCTGGGAATCCCACCTCACTCCACACCCAGCTCATAGCAGAGACTGCTCAGTAGAATTTGGTCCCCTATCCATTAAAAACCAGTGCAGAGAGCCCCTAAGCTTCCTTGGACAGATCTCACCTGTTGCTGACACTCAGCAGTGCTAGAATAAATGCCAGCACCCTGAAACTCAAAGTCTTAGAAATTGTGATCTAAACTCCAAACCACAGAAGAAGGAAGTGGAGTTTCCACGATTAGGCTCTAGCTCTTGTGAGCTGGCTTGCAATGAAGACCGATACGTCAGGAGTTCCAGGCAGGGGGCTAAGCTTCTCTGAAGATGCAGGCCCAACGAAAGAAACTGCACTTACGAAGTCCCTGGGCAAGTGGGACAGCCTGGTCTGGGAGGAAGAAGAGGGAAGAGCTACTCTGATCTTGACCTTCACCCTCTGGAATGTGAAAAAGGCTGGGTTCTCCAAGGCAGCTAAAATCTTTGAGGTATGAAGGTCCCACCACCTGGCTTGACCTCCTGCATCTCTTATTGCTCTCCCCAACCTTTCCACAGATTCCTGCCTTTACTTTAGCCTCCCCCTACTGTTTTTGACCTTAGCGCCCCCCCCCCCCCCCCCCCCCCCCCCTTTCCTTTCCCCTTCTCTCACTGTTCCTGGGGTTGTATTCTTTTCTATCCCCTCCACTTCACCTCACTACACTCTGCAGCTTATGCCCCAGCTTGCCTCTTCTTAGACTCCGCCTTTGCTGCTCTTCTGTTTGAGGTGGTCCCCTTATATTACTATGCCTGTTTCACTCAGGAGGACTGGCTGGGGCTCTCCTGGCTAAAGCAGGGAGATGCTGAAACCAGGGGAGAGGACTAAGAAAACCTATTTAGAAGATCCATCATTCTGTGTGGGGCATATATGTCACGGCAAATACCCCTGAGATGTCCTCTGACATTTTCTCTCCCCACATACCATGTTATCAACTAGAGAGAAATTCTAGGGTTAGGATGATCTAGCTGTATTCTTCCAAAGAGTTCATGGAAAATTTCTGAAGGCAGTGTACAGAATAGACTTCTGGTTCATTTCCCACAGTTAAAACCAACACCCAAATGGATAGATTATTATAGGCATAAGAATGTATTGATGTTTCATCTTATCTGGGAAAATGAAATCACCAAAACCAAAATATTGTATTTATTACTATGATGTTTTTATCGATAGTAGTGCCTACCTAAACAGCATCAAGCAAAAAATGGACCCCTGCTCTACTAGTTACTTTCAAGCTATAAATATTCCTTCCTCTATTTTGTACAAAATAAACAATACTCTTTAACAAACTTTTTTTTTTTAAATTGGGCATGGGCACATTCTTTTTAAAAATGTGTTCTTGTTCAAGCTTTAGTCTGTCATCTTTAAGAAGACATATTACAGTTGTAGTTAAGGTTAACTGTTTTTCAGTGATTTGAGATTTCTTGCTATGTGGACATTTATCTTTTGCAGGCTTTTGAAACCAAAATTCATCACCTTGAAAGCAGACAGGCCAAAACATCCACAAACACAGTTGATGATCTTGAATTTTTTGTCAAATGTGAAGTTCATAATTCTGATGCCAGTGCTCTTATAAACTCCTTAAAGAGAGTGGCGGAGGATGTGAAAGCTCACAGAGAAGACAAAGGTGTGTGATATATGGAGCCTATGCCTTAATGTCTTTTATGTATGAATGCATTTGAGTTATTAGATCCACAGCTTTCAAGTTGCATATGACATGCGTGGCCCTTTCTTGTCCTGCAAAATGATGTGGTTGAGCATATCCCCCACACTGGGACTCATCACAGAGGTCAGTTTTCCTGAATCACACTGCTGGATTGGGCTCAAACTATGATTTTTTTTCTTCATGAATTTTCTGAACCTACATGATTATGAAAAAAATGCACCGAGGTCTCTGCATTAATTGTAATCAATATTTCATATTCTCCAGGACAGCTGCATTATATCTCTGTATTACTTTATGATATATTTAAAAATATATATTTGATAGAAATAGGCAAAACATTCTGGTACACAGGTGGTCTGTAAAAAAGACAGCAGTACCAATAATAATCCTAATACACAGGTGTATTCTCTTCCATGTATGTTTTTAAAAGAAATAACATTCCTGTTGGAATGTTAGTTTTCTCTCAAGAAAACACAGCATCCTTATCCAGTCTGAAATTAATAGCAGCAAGAGATCTAAACACCCTTTGCCAAATATCAGTGGTTCAGAACACTGTGGTATTTTACATTTTCATTGATGGTGAATTATTTCTGATCATAAACTCAAGAAATGATAGAAAATAAGGGTGTTTGTGCTTCGTGAATATGTGTCAGTCTCATTTCTATTAATTCAAACTCCACACTTAATCAGGCATGAATAGAGATGGACCTAGATCCAAGTGTAAAGGACTTTAAGGAGCCCATTTAGTAAAAGCCTTAAGCACCTGTTTAGGTTTAAAGCTAGAGTTGGGTTTCAGTAAAACTAATGGATTCTGCTTGCTGAATTGGGACCTTACTGAGGTGAACATGCACAGTAAGTATTAGGTTGTACACAATAAAACCTGCTTTTGTGACTATCACATAAGAGAGAAAATAACTCTGCAAATGGGCACTGTCTTAAGCGAGAATTTTATTGGAAGGGATGAATATGGGAGGGAAGTAAGTGGTGAAAATAATAAAATTTTTCCAGGATTCCACCTTGTACTACTGCTGCTATAGGGCACGTCCAGACAAGTGTGCATGTGCAGGGGTGTGCATTTGCTGTGGCACAAATAGCAACAGCACATATTTGTGCAGCTGCTTTGTGCCCCACTGCATGCCAAATTGTCCTGGGTGGTATAGGGAAGGCTGCCTTACCTGGGGTCCTGCGGCTTCCTGGGACAGCAGCAGCAGCACCAATCTGGCTGCACGGAGTCTGGCAGACAGCCAGAGTGTAGTTTTGACTGGCCAGGCTTTGTTTCTGGTGGCACACACTGCTGCCATGTGCACTATGCCACTTTTTTGTGGTTTTTTTGTTTTTTGTTATACTAGGATCTCCCAGTGGCAAATTTTGGCACTGTGCTGAAAATTAGCAGCATCGTGAATGGGTACATGTGTGCCGCATGCAGTTTACGGCACCTCAAACAGCTTTGAGGTGCTGTAAACTGCACATGAACATGCATCTGGATGTGCCCATAATAGTGTTTTAGTGGGTATTCTAAGTCCTTAATTTAATAGTATTTTGAGCTCTCTAATTCAGGAAAGCATTGGGGCTCATACTTGCTTCACCTGAAAATGTGATGACGTGTTATACTAAAGTAGGACTTTGGTCAGTAGCTGGTGTGGAAAAACTTGGCAGGAATCAATTTTAAGCAAGGATTTAAAGGGGGCAAAGGTGGTTGCTTGGTGAGCATTGGTAAGGAAGAGGTTACAGAAGGTAAGGGATTGAGAATAGAGTAACGGCACAAACAGGGCAGTCAAGGAGGAGCTTGGGTGGAGAGTAAGGAGTCAGTGGGGTAGGAAAGAATGAGAGCAGAGATGTAGCAGAATTGGGCAGAGCACTGAATACAAAGAGACTGAACCTGAAGTAAAAGGTGAATGAATATCTATAAGCAGACTGGAAGAGAGATGTGACTTGGACAGACATGAGAAAGAAAGGGGGTGGGGGGTGGGTTGCAGCCCAATTTTGAAAGCAAAAGGGGGACAGAACTTTCCTTTTGTCTTGAACCATAATTTCCTATTTTTCAGATATCCAGTCAATCTTTAATGCAGCCTCTTTTTTCTTGTGGGGACAGTTATTTGTGGATGCCATGAGGGACTTAGAGTTCAATGCTGCAATGTTCTGAACTCACTGGTCCTGACCTGAAAGCTCATGCTTTCCTACTGAAGGCAATAGGAAGACCTACTTTTTCAAAAATAAATAAGTTCATGAGAGTTTGCAGGAGAGGGGTCTCAACATCCTTCACTGCATATAATTACATCTAATTATGTGCTCCCACATTTTACAAGCAAAGATGGAGAGTGTTTGTTAAGTCTGCACTAAACGTGAAGCTTGCTGACTTGCAAAAAAATGGCACCACTTCCAAAACAAGTTTCCAGCTGACTATGAGCATGGTTTGCCACAGTCAGGAATGCTGAGTTATACCTCAGGATTTGGGTGACTGGGAAAATTATACTAACTTTGCCTTTTTTTCAAATGCTATTCAGTACATCATTCGTAAAAGTTGGCTCAACTGCCTTGAGCTGGGAGTTGGACTAGGTGACCTCACAAGGTCCCTTCCAGCCCAGAGTTTTCTCTGATGATATGAAATGCCAGGGTTTACATTAGAGCCAAATTAATTATTTTTCAAGATTGTTCATTCTGCAGGTTTGAGAATAGAGGTGCAACTATTTGCAGATTCAGGCTGAATTTGATTCATAGCTTGAGCCAAAAAGGGCAGCGGGAAGGAGGGGTGAAAAGAACAGAAAACTCAAAATAGTTGGTTTTAACATTTTATAAATAAAATGTTTCAATGTTTCTGTAAAAAAAACACCCATATTTTGGGGCTCTGGTTTACTTGTCTTTTGCTTGTTTTCTCTTTGTTTCATTGAGCATGTTGAAACATTTTTCATTTTAGGTCAACACCCTGAATCCTTTTTCTCAATTCTTCATTTGGGTTTGAAAAATGAAAATCAATCATTCATATGTCTTTTGTTTAGCCTACATTCCTTGTACAAAGTAGAGTTTTTCATTTTCATTGGCTGTCTTTTCTGTTGCTTCCCACACTTGGGGTTTACTTGTATAACTCAAATGTAACATTTTCTCAATCAGTCCCATGGTTTCCAAAGAAGATACGAGACCTGGACAAGTGCCACCATTTGATCACCAAGTATGAACCTGATTTGGATCATGGCCATCCTGTAAGTTTGAGGTTGTCCTTAGTTTACTTTTGAAACTGTTTCAATGGGGGACTTATTTCTGCTACCCAATGGACAAACTGTATCAAGAATTCCTTTTAAAGATAGTTTCAGCAACACAAAAGAGCATGACAAAAAGTTGTTCATATTTATGACTCTCAGATAAGGTTGGACTGAAGCTTGGTTGAAGATTTAGAATGGTTTTTATTAGATCTAGATGATTTGTCTGTTCCTTATTTAGATGCTTTAATTATAATCAGAACCTTTTGTAAGCTTGTAAAATCATAACACTGAAGTTGTCTGCTACCAAAGGGGTAGATAGGCTGCATAACTAGTTTCTTTGCCAGCATGTTTTCCCTGAGTGGTATTCATATCACTGTAGTTTTACTCTGCTCCAGAAAATCCCTATATTCTACCAGGTTAGAACTTCTTTTATGACTCTCTGCATCTCTTCCTAATAGAAGCAATCCAAATTATTCCCAAGTTGTCTGTCTCTAGCAGTGGTTTTCAACCTTTTTTCATTAGCAAACCCCTAAAAAAATACAAATGGAAGTGCAGACCCCTTTGATTGATCATAGTCATCTTTTGCAGACCCCTTAGACAGAGTCTGTGGACCCCCAACGGTCTGTGAACCATGTTTTGAAAACCACTTGTCAATAGCAATTTCTGCAAAATAACTACCCAGCTACGGGTTTCTTGGGGGTCATATTCTTTCCTCTGGTTGTGCTAATGGCAGGAAGATTGGGAGCCTATTGAGCTCGGTAGAGGATACAGATCAACCTGGGAATACAGGCTCTGTGGCATATACTCACATAGCAAAATTACACATGTTCTTTGGAGCAAATGTACAGATATGAAATACCTCCCTTGGAAACATGTGCATGACTCCCATTGCCTACAGTATTATTATGATATTTACTGTGGAAATAAAGTGCATAAACATAAGGGGAAAGTTTGGATCTTGGTATGGAAAATGGTTCCAATAAAAGTTGAATATTTTAGAGTAATAAATATTTGTATGGTGTTGCCAATCAACCCTGCTTTATGAGTGTTATGCTAATAATATGGTGCCAGATTCCAGCTATTATTTTTATTATATCAAGAGTGATGGAAAATTCAAAGAGATTTGATTCTATGGCTGGATCCAAATATGCAGGCACTTGTGGTTTGTGGCACCACAAATGTCTTTGCAGTGCCACAACCCACATACATTGCATGTTAACCTGTGCATGGCACTGCTAATTTGCGGCACCAGGGCAAATTTGCTACTAGGATTTCTCAGTAGCAAAAAAACCCAACACCCCCCCGCACCACCCTCCCCCCTCAAAAAACCCCCAAACAAAACCAAAAAAACCCAAACCTGAAAAAAGCAGTGCAAACCATGGTAAAGTGGCATGTGCTGGAACAAACATAAAGACAGGGAAGCAGGCAATCTAGGGCTGCCTGCTTCCCCAACTCCATGAGCTGCAGAGCCCTTATGCTGAGGCACCCTGCACCTCAGCATAGGCAACTGGTAGGGGGTGCATGGGGGTGCACGTGCCTTCCCAATGGGGCCAGTGACCCTCTGACATCCAAAACTGATGCTGTTGGTAGGGCATCAACCCCTCCCCCAGATGAGCTGTGCACCTCCATCCCGTGTCCCATCCTGGCCCGGCTGGGCAGCACCTACCCCTGCCCCAGATCCACTCCCTCCTTCACCACAGGGGCCTCGATCTGCTCCCTCCCCAGGCCCCTTCCCCCACAACAGACTTACCAGCTGAACACTGCTCTCCAAGCTGCCGGGCTGCATAGCCACAATCAAATTGGTATCAGCTGATATGACTCGTTAATAATCGGCCATTGGTATTGGCCCAAAAAATCTTTCTCAGTGCAACCCTAATTTGTGTTGCTGCAAAGGCATGTCCCTGCTACTGTGGACCCAGCCTATGTGTCTATTCATATTTATTTAATAATTAGAAGGACCTGTCTGGAAGCTGAATTTCTAGTAAACCAGGAGGAAAAGAATACCCAACTTGAAGTAGTAACCATCCTTTTGTACAGCTATTACTGGAGCCATTTTTAATACAGCATGGTTAAAACAGCTAACAGGAAAATCAGTCGAGTGAGTCTATTTTCTAGGCCTCCTACTGAAATGATGTCTTTCATTTCACTTGCATTTGAAATTGCCACTTTGTATAATGTTCTCTGCCTACACCTTTATAGAAGGGGATGTCATGAGTCAATGCCATAGGCAAGCTGACTACTTGCAACTGGCCCCAGCTACCTCAGTGAGCCTGGCTGCCAATGGCCTACTGAAGGGGATTGGCAATGTATGGCCTACGGGCTAGATCTGACCCTTAAATAGCCTGGATCCATCCCTGGCAGCTCAGAGAATTGGCAGCAGGCTCTAGCTGCAGCAGCAGAAGAGGCCTCCTTGGGGTCCCACTGCCTGCTGTGTTCAGTTTATCCCTCTGCTGCAGCAAGGGAAGCTTCTCCAGGGTCCTAGGCCCTACCTTTTTTCTATCTGTTACATTCACAGCATCTGCTGATTGCCAGGAGCGGCAGGGTGTGGCCCGCAGTGGGGACTGCAAAAGGTTGCCAGCACCTGACCTACCTATTTCCAGTTTGTCCCAGCTGCCTGCATGGGCATGGCTGGCTGCTTGTAAGCAGCAGCTCTTTCAAGGCCTAGTGCTGACCCCTGCTTCCTGACCCGAGTGTAAATCTTTTGTTTCTGGCTCATAACCTTATGACTCTGATTTGGCCTTTATTTCCCAACCTTGCCTCCTCCTGACTCTCTAATGTCAAGCCCTGGGTGCCCATGTCCTGCATGGACCCCTGACCTTACACTATTTCCTTTGTAGTCATAGGTCCAATATCAGAAGTGTTTTGCAGATGCAACTTAGTGTAAAGTTTGGTTTACTCTCTGAATAATATTCCCAGCAGCGTAGGGATGCAGCCAGGTTCCCAGGGCACAGGGGAAGCAGTGACTTCTGATTGCCACTGCGATCAAAACTGCAATCAGGCAGCTGCCAGAAGCAGCTCTTTTTCCATCCTCTCTTCCCCACAGTGATGCCTGGAGTAGTTGCCCCTTTTGGCCACTATGGTTCTGCATAGTCTCATGCTTCATTACCACAAAGAGAAGGCAATAAAAGAAGCAACAGAAATTCTTGCCAGTTAATTTTGAATTCACCAGATTATTACTCTGTCAGCAGATTACTCTATTTTCTCACATACCATTCACCCCACATGAGACATACATCTGGTTTTGGGAAGGCTCAATGAAGAAAAAAATATTTTCCCAGAATCTTGCTTGCCATAGCATAGGCTCACCAAGGCTAAATGCTGGCTGCATGCAGGAGAGACAAAGTCCCATCCTCAAGATCACTCACCCTTCCTTACAGCTCTTTAGCTAAGGGTTTAAACTTGTTGCAGCCACTGCTCAGCCCAAAGCTGCTGCTAATTCAGCAATAGCTGTGACGGGGTTAAATCTTTAGCTGTGGAGCTCTAAGGAATGGGTGAATGATACTGAGGATGGGTCTCTGACCCTACTGCAGGCAGCTGAGAAGGGAGCACAGGCCGTAGCAGCCATTCCAGCATTCCCATGCCTCCATTCCAAAAATGAATTCAGCTTCCTTGTTTATAACACACCCCAACTTTTCCTGGCTAACTTTTTGGGGAAAAGGATGTGTGGTATGCAAGTAAATGTGGTAATTCATGCCAAAATATTTGTCTTTCTGTAAGTATTCTTCTGAATTATCTCACAATTTAGGGATACACGGATCCAGAATACAGGAAACGGAGGGCCTTCTTTACAGACCTTGCCTTCAGCTACAGAGAGTAAGTACAAGCCTTGTAGGAATTGTAAGCCACTTTCAGAATTTGTATGCTCTTATGTAAAGTGGTCTATATTTTTTTCACGTGAAGCAGCTACTTGATGTGGCCTACTTTTTGCCCAATACATCCATAGGCTATGTACACATGTCCAGTTTCTACCAGGGAATCACTGTTTTCCTGGTAGAAACCAGAAGTGTATAGATGTTCACGCTTTTTCTCCTGGAGCAAAAATGGCCAGTCTGGCCAGAAAGTCAAGTCATAAATTGCTCCTGAGAGTGTCTCTTGGGAGACTGACCTTCTTTACAATTTCCCTTAGCTCTACTCCTCCTGGGACCAGGATTTTCCAGGGGGGAGCAGGAGGAGTGGAGGCAAATGAGGCTCTTGTGCCTTCCTGAGACCAGATTCTGGAGAAGACATGGGGAGACAGCTTCTCCCATCTCTCCAACATACTGCCAGAGTTCCCAGATTGAGAAGCAGGCAGGGGCTTTGGTGAACTGCTCCTTCTGCTCAGCTGCTGGGCTCTGGGAGCCAAAAGCAGTTCAAACCCCTGCTTGCTTCTTACACTGGAGTTCCTGAAGTGACAAGCAGGCTGCAGGATTGTCCCTTCTGCTTCCCTCCCTTCCTGGACTAGTCTGGGAGGGGCAGGGAGGTTCAGACAATAGTCCCTGCCTCTTTGCCAAACCGGGCAGTCCTCAGTTTGAGAAGAGGTCAGGGGTTTTGCCTACTCCGGCGGGCCTCCCATTGCTACTCACACCACCCAGATAGGAGGCACAGATGGCAAGAAGAAGCTAGCTGGTGGGGTCAGGAAGATACTTGGGATGGCTTTTTCTGGGCCCAGGTCTTAGATGTCAGCTTTCAAATTGCCACCCCCACTGCCCAGCTAGATAGCATGGGCAGCAAGGGGAAGCTGGTGGGGTGAGGAACCAGGTTTGGGGAGGCTCCCCCCGGGGCAGTGGAGAGCACCTGCCCACTCCTCATGCTGGAGTGCCCAGAATGAGAAGCAGGCCAGGGGCTTTTCTCAACTACTCTGTCCACTTAGCTCCCAGTACCCCAGAGCCAAGCAGAAGGTGCAGCATGGTGAAATCCCTGCCTGCTTCTCAAACTGGGGTCCCTGGTGTAAGAAGTGAGCGCTGCTCCTGTCCTGCCAGGAACAGAAGGACAGGAGCAGCCCACAGTTTTCCCAGACTGGTATCGACCCAATCCAGAGAAGGTGCAAGGAGCAGAGGAGAGGGGGTGGCTACGGACTGCTTCCTCTCCCAGAATCATTTGTAGTAGTGAAAATTTTCCACCACTAGAAAGGAGCATTTGTACGCTGCCTATGGTGCCATCTGTTGTAGCATTGGGTTAAGTGCTAAGAACTGCATCCTATATGCCAGGGTTGTCAAACTTGGTTGGGCCCCTAGGCTGGATCTGGACCCTGGGGCTCCTTGTGGGTCAAGTCTGGATCCCTTTCCCCCACCACTCGGTGGTGGATAAGGAAGCAGAGGCAGTATTGACATGGATGATAGTTCATGTATTTGACACAGCTGCTACATGCAGGAGGCACCTTTCAGAACTCAGTGACAGTGATTTTAGCATGCAGCTGTTGGGTTGCACGTGTGTCTTCCTGAGCTCTGCATCTTGTCCAGCAAAAATTGTCTTTCTTTATGGCTCTTCGTGTCAATTATGGTATAAGAATGAGCTTCTGTTTAGGGCTTGGTAGGTGCTTTATCAAGTCTATCATAGATTGTACATGTCTAGCAGAAAGTAGGAGAACACTGAAAAATGGAAAGACTTGTTTTCTAATGAACAACTGACATCTTCTTGCCATTCTGTGTAGAAATACAATAGAGAGAAAAACATACACACTAGAGTCTGCAGGTTTCCTCGAGAACACTGCAAACCATTCTGCCTTCTAGTAAGGGGAATTTGCAAGATGTGTAAGCTAAATTATTTTTCTTTTGAATGATGGGCCCAAACACTGATGGGAAAGTTAATGTTGAAAACACATAATATACCTGTGCACATATTTAAGATTCTTTCTCCTGGGATGATGCTATATGGATCAGTTGTTTTGATCTCCATTTCAGCTTCTGGCCAACCACATTATACTCAGTTTAATGGTTGATGTACCACCAGCTGGGGGCAGGGAGTGGGGAAGTGCAATACAGCATGGTCTCTGGTATCTTCCAAGCAATCCTCCTTTTTTATACAGTATTCTCCATCTCAGAATTGAGTGGAGATTCTGACCTATGGCTCATAAAACCCCTTGGGAGCTCCTACAGAAAAGCTGTAGATTACACATCTTTTTTTTAAATTCTTGTATTACTGATGTATGTATAGGAAATGATACTTGAACACAAAGCTTCAAATCGCCTTTAGAAAAGATATTTATATTTTCTCTCTCTCTCGAAAGGGGAGACCCTTTGCCTCGAGTTGAATACTCTGCACAAGAAACTGCTACTTGGTGAGTGTATTGTTATACTCTACGAAGTGACTAACCATAAAGCAATTTCACGACATCTCAGTGGAATTTTTGGCAGCACAGGATGATCACTCCATTTTCAAACCATAGCTAAGCATCTCTATTTTTAACCAGTGTCTTAATCTCCCTTCATGTTACTCATTTTGTAAAGCAGTGTCCTACCAATGCAAGCAAAACTCCTGCCAATGCGAATTGAAGTCATGTTCTTGGCCTGAGGGGACCAGAGACTCCTAACTCTAATTTCAAGTCACAGCAAGTAGTGATAAAACATCAAAGGTTCAGAGCATGAACACCTACAGGAGAGCCATAAGGTGATTTTTCTGTTAGCTTTCTGCCTTCCCTCAAAATCCCAAAGGTGCCAGATGCTGGTGTGTCCACAGTAGGACTTTGAACTCCTCATGCTTAAAGAAATGTGGATCTAGGAGTTGGTTCCTAATGAAAATAGGAGTCTGATAGCATCTGTTTTGGCCTCTGCCTGAGATAGATACTGGACAAGATGAACAACTGGTTCACTGTTATGACTGATTGTGTTCTTTTGGGATAGACTAAGGGGAATAAAAGAAGGAAAGGAGGAAAAATAATCTACTGAAAGAAAACAAGTGAATATTAAGCAAAGAAGATTGAAAAGATAAATACAGACTATCCAAAAAAGAGAAAAGATGAGGTAGGAAAGTCAGGTGTGTATATATAAATAAGTTAGAGTTGATACATGGAAGTGTTCTTCATAGATACAGTTTCTGAGATAGATGAGCATACAGATAGCAGTCCCTTGCATGAATCTCACATTTTTATGGGATGAGGGCTATTTCTATCCTAAATCATAGAAAAATAAGGCTGAAAAGGACCTTCAGGGGTCATGTAGTCCAATCCCCCAGAGACTGGATTATCTCTATTCAAACCATCCATTGTCTAATTTATTAATAAAAACTACACAATCAACCCTGACACAAACCCTTGGCATAACATCCTAACCTGCTTCCTTCTGTCTTAAAAATGTTTCTTGTTTTTCAGTTGAATCACTCCTTGAATAAATGTAGTCTTACCTTACAATACAAAAAGGTTCATGACCTCACATGTAATTCTGGGCCAATCACACTTAAAGTCCATTGCTTTTTATACAAGTGCAGCACATCTTTACTAGGGTCTGTCCTTCCTGTGCCTATATCCCTTCTAAAAAGCAAACCCCAGTGTGGATACACACAGCTGAAGTTTTGGAACAAAAATTAGTCAATCCATTGATTCAGCCTAGAAGATGGTTGTTTCAATCAGAAGTGGGTAAAGGTTAAGGTAGAAAAGATAAATGTTTAGTTCTCATCCACATATTTTTCTTTTCCTCTAGCTAGCTTCAAAAAATCACGTATATAGCAATTGCCATTATCATAAAAGGTATTTTTCTATTACAATAAGGTCTAGATGTCCCAGTTAGGACCAAGGCCCCAGTGAACTACATGTCACATGAATACACAATTAGAAACAGTCTGTTCCACAAAGAGTTTACAATCTAAAGTGAAAAGATGGCCAAAAACATAGAGAAAAGATAGTGGCAAAACTGAGGGAGGGGATGGGAGACCAGGGCAGTAGGCCTGGGCACTGCCTGTGGGATAGGGGAGGCACAAAAATAGCCCCAAGAGCAGCTGATGCTACCCCTACTACACCTCTGAGAAAAGACAGAAGGGGAACTTGAGAGCAGGGAAAAGAGAGCAAGAGATTAAGTAACTTGGTCAAGATCACACAGGAAAGCCTATGGCAGAGTGAGGAAATGAAAGGACATGTTCTGAGTTCCCTGCTAATGGTTCAGAAAGAAGGCTATCCTTCCTCTCCCTAGGATTTTCTTAGAATAAAATGAACTCTCCCTTATGAACTGGAAGAGGTGCAGACACTATTTATATAAACAATGCATCCCACTTGTGCAAATCTCAATATTCTTTCAAAAGCTCAAGTGTTGGGTTTTTTGAGCATTCTTGAATAATTATAACATGAGTGTTAGTATCATGTGCATAAACTGCTTCTGCCAGCCAACAATATTGGTATGGGAGGGTGTGTAGGAAGGTTGCATTGAAGAAAATTTAATTTTGTGTTCTTTCCTGTTTTTCCCTTTTGTTGCCAGTTTCCATCATTGCAGTTATTCTCCATCTAGAACTATCCCCAGTGTGGTGAATGGGATAGGCCTTTAGAGGGATATCTGTCTGTCTCCTTAGTCCAGTCAGCCCCAGCAACCTAGGTGACTAGCTGTGTAAATCGATTCATGAAATTAGATCTCTCAGTTGTTATCATTGCTCCCTATGGCTGTGCCCTGAGGCTGACTACATTACAGCACAACTTAATATGAATACATCAAAGCCAAAGAAGAAATTTGTAATGTGCCATAAATTCCCTTGACATTAGCTCTGAAGAGCTGTTGGATTCCTTTAGTTTGTAGCAATACGTCTATAAAAATGAAACATTAATCAAACACAGCAATCTGTGTTTCCAAAAACAGAGGACAGATGATCCATGTCTCTGTTCTCAGGCAGGCAAAATTATTGTAGAGCCATAAACTGAGTAGTCATAAGAGCAAGTTGGGGGGTGGCACAATAGGTAAAAGTTGTGATAGGACAAGGAAGATTGAAGGACAAAAATACTGGGACACATTTATCATGTGACAACAGTTAGGTCTGACAGTCACTTTCTTCTGACAAAAAAGGGGAAAACTATTTCTCTCGGTTTCGTTTTGGCCTAGAATCATAGAAAATTAGGGTTGGAAGGGACCTCAGGTGGTCATCTAAACTAACCCCCTGCTCAAAGCAGGAACAGCCCCAAGTAGATCTTGATCATCCCAGGCAAAGCTTTATCTAGCTGGGTCTTAAACAATCTTCGAGGACGGAGCTTTCACCACCTCTCTGGGTAACCTGTTCTAGTATTTTACTATCCTCCTAGTGAGAAAATTCTCCTTAATATCCAACCTAAACTTCCCTTTCTGGAACTTGAAACCATTGTTCCTTGTTCTGTCATCTGCCACCAGTGAGAACAGTCTAGCTCCATTCTATTTTGAACCCCACTTCAGGTAGCTGAAGGCTGCTATTAGATCCCCTCTCAGTCTTCTCTAGGCTAAATAAGCCCAGTTCCCTCAGCCTGTCCTCATATACCGTGTGCCCCAGCCCCTCACTATTTTTGTTGCCCTCCACTGGACTCTCTCCAAGTTGTCCACATCCTTTGTGTAGTGGGGGGCCCAAAACTGAACGCAGTTCCACAGTTTTCCAGATATGGTATCACCAGTGCTGAATAGAAGGGAAGAATCACTTCCCTGAACCTACTGGCAACACTACTACCAATGCAGCCCAGTATGCCGTTAGCCTTCTTGGCAACAAGGGCATGCTTTTGGCTCATATTCAGCTTATTGTCCACCTTAACTCACAGGTTTTTTTCTGCAGAGGTGCTGCCCAGCCAGTCAGCCCTCAGCCTGTACTGGTGCATGGGATTGTTTTGTCCTAAGTGCAGGACTTTGCACTTGTCCTTGGTGAATCTCATCAAATTTCTTTTGGCTCAATCCTCCAATTAGTCTGGGTCACTCTGAATCCTAGCCCTACCCTCTAACATATCTACTACTCCCCCCAGCTTGGTGTCATCTGCAAACTTGCTGGGGGTGCACTCTGTGCCATCCTCCAGGTCTTTGATGGAGATATTGAACAAAACAGGTCCCAGGAACAACCCTTGGGGGACTCCACTTGATACTGGCTGCCAACTAGACATCGAGTCACTAACCTTAACCCTAACCCTTACCCTCTGAGCCCAATGCTTCAGCTAGCTTTCTATCCACCTTACAGTCCATTCATCCAGCCCATACTTCCTTAGCTTGCCTGCAAGAATGCTGTGGGAAACTGTATCAAAAGCCTGGCTAAAATCAAGGAATACTATATCCACTGGTCTGTCTGCATCCACAGAGGCAGTCACCTCATCATAAAAGGCAACCAGGTTGGTCAGGCCTGACTTGCCCTTGGTGAATCCATGCTGACTGTTCCTAATCACTTTCTCCTCCCAGTGCTTAGAAATGGCTTTCTTGAGGATCTGCTCCAGGATTTTTCCTGGAACTTGGATGAGGCTGACTGGTCTGTAGTTCCTTGGATCCTCCTTTTTCCATTTCTTAAATATGGGTGCTATGTTTGCTTTTTTCCAATCATCCGGGATCCCTCCTGATCACCATGAGTTTTCAAAGATGATATCTGGTGGCTCTGCAATCACATCAGCCAACTCCCTCAGCACCCTCAGGTGCATCCCATCTGGCCCTATCAGCTTGTATATGTCCAGTTTTTTTAAGTAGTCCCTAACCTGTTTATTTGCCACTGTTGGCTGCTCACCTCCTTCCCAAACTGTGCTGCCTGGTGCAGTAGTCTGGGAGCTGACCTTGCCTGTGAAGACTGAGGTGAAAAAGGTATTGAGCACTTCAGCCTTTTCTGCATTCGCTGTCACAAGGTTGCCTCCCCCATTCAGTAACGGACCCACACTTTCCCTGATCCTCCTCTTGTTACTGACACATACCCTAGAAAACCTTCTGGTTATCCTTCACATTCCTTGCTAGCTGCAACTCCAATTCACTTTGGCCTTCTTGACTTCATCCCTGCATACCCGAGCAGTGCTGTTATATTCTTCCCTAGTTATTTGTCCAAGTTTCCACTTCTTAGAAGCTTCCTTTTTGTAATTTAGTTTACTGAAGAGTTCCCTGGTAAGCTAAGGTAGTCTTCTGACATACTTGCTAGTCTTCCTGCACATCAGGATGGTTTGTTCTTGAACTCTCTTCTTTAAAGTATAGCCAGCTCTCCTGGACTCTTCTCCCCCTCAGACTGGCTTCCCAGGGGATCCTGCCCATGAGTTCCCTGAGCGAGTCAAAGTCTACTTTTCTGAAGCACAGGGTCCCTACTCTGCTGCTCTCCGTCCTTCCTTTCCTGAATTCTGTCATCTTGTGGTCACTGCTGCCCAAGTTGCCATCCACTACTACATTCCCCACTAATTCATCCCTGTTTGTGAGCAGCAGGTCAAGAAGAGCATGGCCCCTTGTTGGATGCTCTAGCACTTGCACAAGGAAGTTGTCCCCAACACTCTTCAAAAGCTTCCTGGATTGCCTGTGCACTGATGTATTGCTCTCCCAACAGATGTCAGGGTGATTGAAGTCCCCCATTAGACCCAGGGCTTGTGATTGGGAAACTTCTGCTAGCTGTTTGAAGAAAGTCTCATCCACCACTTCCTCCTGGTCTGGTGATCTGCAGCAGACCCCCACCATGACATCACCCTTGTTGCTCTCCCCTTTGATCCTTACCCATAAACTTTTAACAGGCCTATCTCCAGTTTCAACCTGGAGCTCTGAGCAATCATTCAGCTCTTTTACATACAGCCCAACTCCACTTCCTCTTCTCCTGCCTGTCCATCCTGAACAGTTTGTACTCATCCATGACAGTGCTCCAGTCATGCGAGCTACCCCACCAAGTCTGTTATTCCAATCATGGCATAGTGCCGTGATTGTGCGAGGACTTCCAATTCCTCCTGCTTGTTTCACAGGTTCCATGCATTTGTGTACAGACACCTAAGGTAATACGTTGATTTGCCGTGATTTCTCAGAAAGTATCCTTATTGCTCTCTCCTGCTTGCTCTTCCTCTAGGTCCATTTCCCCGCTTACCACAGGGCTTTGGTCTTCATCACCTAGCAAACCTCATTTAAAGCTCTCCCCACTAGGTTAGCAAGCCTGTCAATCTGCTAAAGCACCCACCTGCCTAGTTTTGTGCCATTTTTTTTAACAGACACAGCACATCTCACTGTTAGCAATACTTGGCTTGAAGTTCAGTTTGAGAACTCCAGATTGACTCATATATGTTTAAAAAGATTATTTCCTTTGAAAGTGCTGTCAACTTTACCCTCTTTGTCCTCAAAAAGAACCTGAACCCAACCCATTGAAGTTCAAGGGAACCATATAAATGATTTGCAAGGGACTTCATCCGTAGCTTTCTTAGGTAGGTTTACCTCCATGTTCTGAATGCATTTAATGTAAGGGAACTACGAGAAGGAAATGATTTGCCCTGCAATATTTAACATTTCTAATGTTCAGGGTTTTATCTGTATATAGTTCTTTCAGCAACTAAAAACGTGAAGCTTAAAGCAATAAAAAAAAGTCTTCAGTTGTCAAAAAAATCCATTGTTTTAAAAACGTGGCTTTCAGGATTTTTTTAAACACAATCCTGAAATGTTAGCAATGTTTTTATAGTAGAGTCACACTTCAAAGTGAAAAAAGCATGTCTAAATTCTTCAAGCACATCTAGATAAGGGCAGTGTGGAGAGCAATCATGGGTTTACTCCTGCATTGGTTTACATCCTGTCAGTCCCATTACAATCAAGGCTGTCCTGTGCGAAGTAGGTCATGGCAACATCTGGTCTCTTGTTCTCTTGAACTTTTTTTAACTGCTCTATGCAGATGGTCCAGGGTCAGACAGCTTTTGAAATACTGACAATAGCCACTGCCTCAGTCTGTTTCTTAAAAAAAAAAACAAACCCAAAACATAACAACCCCCGCCCCTCAAAAAACCTCTTTTTTTGCTCTCGTTTTTGGTCAATTACACCCACGTTAACCTAAGAAATGTGTATGATGGAGAGACAACCATTACCAGATACTGGCTATCACCTCCATAGCAACAATAGCAGCAAAAAGAAATACAATACAAAAACAAGAAAAGGTCATTTTCTTTAGTCAGCATTTCCAAGAGTGATCTCAATTTTCATAAAACAATGTTTATAAATTTGTTAGACCCCTAGAGCTGTGTGTGAACAAAAATAACCATTTCTATCAGGTTCACTGCCATCATGTTATTGCTTGCTTGTTTTGCAATGGCTAAATATATTATCTTAAGATTGAAGTATTTAAAATAAAATAAAACACAAGAGATGGGTCCAAAACCACAGCCCTAAATCCAAGCACCACTGAATTTTGGAAAATTTAAGAAGCTGGATGCACATTTTGGAACCTTCCCTTTCTTTACAAATCCCTAAAGAAGGTACATCCAAGCCTCATGGCCCATTGGGTTAGTGTGGTCAAGGCACACTAGTTTCTCCACTGATAGCACACAAAGGAGTGACATGGGTAGCATCACTTATGGCCACCTTTGATTCCCCAGCCTTATTGACTAGGATTCAGGTAGGGGCAGCCTTTGACGTAAGGCTAGAGTAGGACTTGCAGTCAAGTTTCTGGAGCTGTAGCATCTAATGTAGTTCTGCTACCACATCCTTCTGAACTCCTCCAGAATTTGGAATGTGTTTAAAATCTGTGGTCCATGCTCTGCACTCTGAGGTGCCTTGATGGAACTTTATGCCTTACAGAGACTGATTCAGGAAAAAAACTTAAGTTTGTGCTTCACTTTAACTACATGCTGTAGTACTTTTCTGAGTCAGGTCCAGATGCCCTTTATAGTTAATGAGGTTCTGCAAAGGCATATTGGATTTGGTAGGACAGATCCCATCTATTGGGGAAAAACCAACCTGCAGCATTCACCCACTCTTTAGCACTATTTATTGTTGTAACCCTGGGCGCAACACTACCTGTGCCTTCACCTGAATAGTGGGATCCTGGGGTACCCGGTAGCCCCGCCCAGCTCCCTAGGTAGCTGCTGCAGGGTCCCTGAGCAGAGAGACTCCCCTTACTATCAAATGACCTTGCAAACAGTTATAAAACTATTTACAGGATTTAATTATTTACAAGGTAACATATAACCAATGCAATAGAACAAATGTTACACCACATGACCTGGTGATGATGGCTGTGGGGAGATCCTTTCCCTGGTCTCCAGCCCATCTCTTGCCCTCTCCCTCTCTCCTTTGTTTTCCTCCTGGGAAAACTGCTCCCCTCTTTTAAGCAAGCCTCTCAGCCAAGCCCAGGCCAGGGCTCTTCCCGGGCTTTTGCTAACCTCTCTCATTCAAACCCTGCTGGGGTTAGATTGCCCATCCCTCTTCCAAGAGGGCTACCTCCAAAACAGCTTCACTTGCCCTCAGGGCAAACAGTGCCTCTACTGGGACAAACTGTCTCTTTGCACTCTGTCCCTCTGCAGGGCAGCCCTTTCTATTCCTTTAGGTGTGTCCATTTTTAATGCTACTACATTAAGACAGCTTTGTGTTTTAGACAATGTCTCTGCTTTAGTTGCTTGAATATCTCTGGTTTAGAAGCCATGGGGAAGTGGTTCTGCTCTGGTGAGGTGAGGAGGTCACCAACTTACAGCTATTACTCTTTCAGGAGAGAAGTCTACAGAAAGCTGAGCAGCCTCTACCCTACCCATGCCTGTAAACAATACCTGGATGCCTTTCAGCAGCTGGAGAAATACTGTGGCTACCAAGAAGACAGCATACCTCAACTGCAGGATGTCTCCAGATTTTTAAAAGGCAAGGCATTGTGGAACATGGTATTTCAAAGTTCCTTGTATCCCCCTTTTGGAATTTCAAATGGTGTGTAATGGTCAGGGATCCTGGTTTTCTCTGATAAAAAAAAAAAAATCCCCAGTTTTCAGATTATAAAAAGTAAACCAAAATCCACATTTTCCACGCACGCACGCACGCGCACACACACACACACACTCCCACTTTTCTGTGATTAAAATGAAACACCACTAATATACATGTATGTATGTATGTCTCCCTGTATATTAGTGGTGTTTCATTTTAATCACAGAAAATTTTTTATTTTTATCCACCCTGGTATACAACTGATCTGAGTCGTCTTCATCTGCCAGCTAATTTCAAAGAGAATGGCATAAGTGGAAAAACAAGGACAGTATAAAGGCATTTTGGTATGCACAGTTTTTACTGGTAATGTTAGATTTAACTGTCTGGGTTATCTACATTTTCTATAGGCTGTGATTCTAAATTTTTGTCTGGTCTATTATACAGATGTATTTGGTTGAAAATGTTATAAAATTGTGAATCAAAACCTTCATCACATATCTGTCCAGGGGAGAACGCAAGTGTTCCACACAACAGGTTTATTTGTGGCTGCACACATCTCAGACTAGAAAAAGGTACTTTTGGTTAGTTGAACTGATTCCTATTAATATCTCTTTGTCACCAATGATTCAATCTAAAATTAAACTTTCCTAATCACAGTTCTTTTAGGGAATTGTGATAGATGAGATTACTGTCAGAACTCCTTGGAACAAACTCACCCAGAAACATACAAACTGAAGTAAATTACACCAGGATCAGGAGCAGACAGATGTGCTGGTGTAGAATAGCAGTGTATAGTAAGTAGCTATTACTGCATCTTGCCATTAGATAGTAAAGCTGTAGGTTTGCCTTTAGCAAATGGCTGGCTTGAAGCTGACAGAAAACAACAAAGCCAGTATAACTTACACTAGTAGAACATTATCCTTGGTTATTTCAGGGGAAACTTTACTGGCTTAAGTAAAATTATCCCAGTTTAGGGAATCTGTGTCCATCTATCTCTGATGGTATCCTGGTAAATGTGTTGCTTCTCCAAGCTCAAAGTGAGTCTACAAGTATTCTAAAAGGTCTGCAAAAACTTCAGTAGTTAGTCCCATGTCACTGAGCCACCTTGTAAGACAGGAATACTTCTTATTTATTAGTATGTGGGATAAAATTCTGGCCCTGCTGAAGTCATCCTGATTTTCACCCTTCCTCATTTGTAGTCAGGGTTTTGCCCCATATACCTTAACTTAGGAGTCAATTGTGCCTTGTAGTCACCTGCCTTTGTTATGGGTACTACAGAACTGCACTGCCCCAGAGAAACATCTCCGGGAATTCCCTAGCATGCAGTAGGGGCAGGCCAGCCACTACATCTAGTGTGTTTCTCCCAGGCTTGGTTGGCACCACGTGGACCTGACATTATGTGCACTAAAGTCCCAGTGCAAACCCTGGCCTAAGTCCTATGACCAGTCTATAATGCCTACAGTTACAAAAAAATTGCCTATATTTGACTATTTTCTAGCATATATTACTATAATATTATGTGCTTTTTATATAATAAACTATAGGGGTACAGAAAGGGAGCATATTGGAAGGGGGGGAGGGTACTAATGCCATCCCAACAAGTCAAGTAACCTTCATCACTTCTAATAACAAGTAATGCAGGATTTTTCTGTTGAGTTTTTCACATTGCCTTTAAGGTGAGTTGCACTACCACAGCATTCTATAACTAGCAGTTTGGAGTGGTTAGGATGTAAATTGAAATTAATATTACAAAATAAGCATTATGCAATCATAAGGGGGTTAATCACATGACATCTAAATATGGTAAATGGTTTTCCAAGGGGTTAAATAAATACCCCCAAGGAGTTATTCCTTTCTAGAAAAGATATTTGGACTTAAGAATTTTGATCCACAGCTGGAAAAAATTACAGCCAAAGGACTCAAAGGAGGGTCATGCTGTAATAGTCAGGCCTTTATAAAATTTTTCTTAGGCCAAAAGTTAAACCTCATTTTGTATAGGCTCCCTTAGGTTAACATTCAAGGCCTTCCCTCTGACTCTGACTCCAGAGGGCTTTTGAACTGTTAGACCAGTCACCCCACACATTCAGTTCTTTAGCACTCATTTTTCTTATGCAGTATTGAGATGAATGTACAGCTTTAGCACATCTTCTCCCTCCACCAATGCCTTGTCTACCTACTTTAAGAACATTTGCAAGGCCACTTTGCCAGCAGGAGCTGCTGACTCACTGGGCCAGATTCATAAAAGGATTTGGTAAAGCAACATCAAACCTCCCCAGATTTATTCAAATGCTTTTAGACTTTTGAAATGTTAGATTATGTGCATTGGTGGAGCACAAACTGCACCTTCTCAGAGACAGCTCAGAAAAGACCATGAAGCATGGATATCTCTCTAAAGATCATGTCTTGCTTGCTTCCCCTTTGGTACTGGAATGGACAAGTAGTAATTAAAGCGCCACTACGTCTTCTGCATCAGTGTTCCCATGCTTAAAAATGGTGGCAGGGGTGCTTGAACTAACACTTTAATTCAACTTCCCCCACCACTATTTTTAAGATCAGGGATGCTGATACACGAGATGCATGAGGCTGCTGAAGCATGCTTCAGCAGACTTGATTTATCGAGTCTGCTCCGATGCACTGGAATTCCAGCACATTGAAGCAGTCTCTGTGGTCGTGTGTGGGTGCCCTCCATTGTGAGGTTCTAGGAGATGTGCATTAGCTTTTATTAATGCACATTAACTAAAGAGCACTATTTTAAGTGATGCTTAATATGCATTAGCCTATTTTAATGCACATTAACTAAACAGCACAGTTTGGCTAATGCACATTAAAGCGCACTTGTAGACATGCTCCCTCTTGTCGTTCACATTTCGCTGTTGTATTTGGCCTGTTGAGTCATAGAAATTAGAGGTAACAAAACAGCTATGCTTCTCTAAGCCCGAACACAACACTATTCTAACAAGGTTACACTGTTTCCAGTTTCACAACTAGAACATGCAGAGATAACTTGGGATGTCTGCATTTACTGCCCTGCAATATATAGATAGATAGAACAGAGATGCTGTACCAGAAGTGACAGAAATACCTAAAGTAGATAGATGTTCTCATTACCCACAGGTACAAGAATGTGCTAGGAATAAGTCCAAACTCCTTGGTTGGTGTCATGCTGTCATGTAATTAACACTAGAATTTCCTGCTGTGTTGCTGTCCTTTGCAGAAAGAACAGGTTTTCAGCTGAGACCAGCTGCAGGACTACTGTCTTCTCGTGACTTCCTTGCCAGCCTGGCATTTCGTGTCTTCCAGAGCACACAGTATATAAGGCATTCCTCCTCCCCTATGCATTCCCCAGAGCCGTAAGTAGGATGACATGGCATAAACTAGCAGTACTTGGGGGATGGTAAGCAATTCACCAATGATCCAAAGGTCCATCTTGGTGGCCCCCAGAATGAAATGATTTGAAAACTAAGCTTTTAGGGAGTTAGGAGAGGAGGACATGAGTAAGAAGACATGCTTCTTTTTTAAGGTCATCTGGAGAAGGAAAACGCTTGAAGCCATTTGCTTTAATCTGTTCATTCTTGCTGCATTTATCATTCCTTGAGTTCTAACATTGTATCAGGTTATGCATGCCCTGCTCTGGGAAGGTCGCAGTAAGCAAGAATTCTTTTTCATGGAAAATGACAAGGCTTTGGTAGTTGGTTTTGTTCTGCATCAGGGCAAAACAGGGACCTTTCAAAAGTGTTTGAAAAAAATGAAAGTGACTCCACCCTCATCCTACATTAGCCCAATCATTAGGACAGTCATCTGGGATGTGGGAGCTCCATGAAATGACCTGGCTCTGTCTGACACAAAACATGGGTTTGAAACTTGGTCTCTTATCCCATATAGCTGCCAAACTTATTGGCTATGCTGGAGTGGACATTTTGTTTTGGAGTTTTTGTTTAGAGACAGTTTTGTTCAACTGGAACAAAACAGGTTCAATGATAAGACATCTAATGTAGTTCTAACTACAGTCAGTGGGATTTGGGGCAACTCATATTTTACTTTTATTGTATGTGCTCAGAACTTGACATGGTGACTGCTGAGAGGCTGCACAGGTGGAGCATATTTTGAGGAGAGAGATAAATGTAGAGAGGGAAGTGTGGTAGCACCCTGTAAGATAGAAGGAGCTCCAAACTCCATGGGAGGAGTCATAGAGGGGGAAGGCACCGATACAAAAGATGACAGACAGACAGAGAAGAGATGGGCTGGTGGGAATCTGAGACGAGCACACGCAGCAGGAAGTGGGCTAGCAGGAAACGAGAGCAGAGTTGTAGGGCCAGAACAACAACTACTACAGCGAGCCTTTATGTACATCTCCAGCAGAGTTTACTAGATTTATGCCAGCTGAAAATCTTCCCCACAGATTTTTTCATTTTTTAAGACAGCACGTAAATTTTACCTGCAGATGGAGGGGGGAGAGATTAGCAGTGAAAGAGCAGATAAGTCCTGCTTGGAATTGCTCTGTAGGATAAAACTATTCCTTTTTTTAAATGATAAAAATTACTTTTCTTCCAGTGACTGCTGCCATGAGTTGCTGGGTCACGTTCCCATGTTAGCTGATAAAGAATTTGCCCAGTTCTCTCAGGTAAGAAATGCTTTCTGCTGACGGCTTTGGACTGAAGAGTACAGAGATTCCAGTAGCAATGGGTACTGTGTGCCTGAGACATGTACTGAATAGACACTTCTGGGGCCCTTCATATGTCATGAAAACCAATACCTTTAAGGCTTCACCAACAGCTGCCATTATAATCTAGGCTGAGCCTATTCCTGTACCTACCAGACTTGGACTGTGATTAATTATGGAGAAACTCTCTCTATAGTACTAGACATACTACAAATAAAAGAATATTTTAAAAATGTAGAAAAACAACCCTGTAGTCATTTCAGAATCACCAACTGTTGTTGTCTTCCCTGCTCAGAACATAGGATCACAAAGGCTCATGGTGATTTAACTGAATGACATCAAGTGCTTTTATGGTTGAGTTCCTTTCATGGAAACTCTTTTATATTTTATCCATCATGAGAGAATTAATGGTAAAGTCACCCTGCTTTTGTTTGTTTGTTACCATGACACAGTATCTAGGGCTTGAACCAAGAAGCAGCTCTAGGGAATACCCATCCTTAAAAAGATGCAATTAGCTTAATAGGGAATATACAAGGGAGGAAGCACAGTTTTCCTGGTGAACTTCTGGTGCTGAGAAATGGCAGTACTCTTTTGAAGTGCCAGTGGTTCTAAGTCCAGCCCCCAGTCAAATTAGTGGGAGGCAGACCTAGAATTCCCATTTATATGGCAGCACTATAATGTAACTTGTATAATAAGCAATTCCAGAGATGCCTTTTGCCCAGCTTACCAAGGTAAACAAGTCATCAAGGGAACTTCATTTTCCCTAGGAGTTCTGCCTGTAGGGCATGTCTGACTTGAAGTTTATTACTTCATGACTAACACAGGTTCCTTGGTCCAACTCTGTATTCATTAATACAAGGCAATTTAGTTTTCAGAGTTATCTAATTAATACAAGGCAGAATAAGCTAGCCTCTTGAAACTCAAATCAGGTTGTTTCATGCTTATGGCCAAGTTTCTGCTGCTGAGAGGATGGCAGTTGTCTTAGCCAGTGCACTCATTTCCACCTGTAACAAGCTACTGGATTCTTTTTTGTACAGTTAGGGATGGAGTTGGAGAATCTGAGAGTGAAGTATCAGGACCAGGAAGGTGGGAGCCAGCTCATTGGGGGAAATGAATGAATAGTATGAGGCAGGAACAGAAGCAGAAGACAGGCAAGTTTTGGGGAAGGCAGATGGGGCAGACAAAGGAGAAGTGATTGGAAAGGTAAGGGTGAGTAGGTAGGGGGTGGAGTTGGCTTGGGACCTAGAAAAGGGCTGGAAGATGGGAAATAGATGATTTGTGCACTGCCTAATCATTTAGTGGGAGCATCCTGGACATGCTCTAGTCCAGCTGGATACACTCTGTCCTTGTCACAAGGTTTCTCATTGTTTAATGAGAGGGCACATGCGAGGGTCAACAACAGGCCAAGAACTGGTCAAAATTGTGTCAAGAATGATGTTTGATTAAGCACTGTTGGGGATCCACAAATGGTAGGCCTTCTGGAAGCCATGGAAGGACATGTTTATTGCAAAAAGAAGAAGGGCTAATTCATATTGGAAGTGTGGCAAGCCTTCTCCCTTCCACCCCACATTCTTTCTGGCTAACCAATAACACACCTGTGATATTACTTTCTTGCTTTAGGATATTGGACTGGCTTCTCTTGGGTCATTGGATGCTGATATTGAAAAACTGTCAACAGTAAGTATAAGCTACATTTTAATATCTGAGCTAAAATGTCAGGGTCCTGATTTCCAAAAAGTTCTGAGTACCTGCCCTTTGAATATCTGCCTCTCTTTCAAATTTCTTTAGGTGGGCACCCAAAATGGAAACAGCCAAAATATTTCCTCTTAACTTGGTCTAATTCAGACTGCATTAGTGCATGTGCTGAAATCTGTCTCTTTCTAGGGCAGAAGAAAAACACATGCTGAATTTCAAGCAAGTGCTTAAATATTTCCCTGAACAGGAGGAATGTATTCCTGTCCCAGGGTCTTCATGCAGTTTGAGCTACTGGAAGGTTACTAATTGATGTCATAGTCACATAACTCCAGCAATCAGGCTAGATACTTACATCCTAATATTAAGAGAAACCACTACTAGAAGAAAGAATTGAATTTTGTATAAGCAAAATTAAGGTGCTAGATTATCCATGCATTCATGGGAGTCACAAAACATGAACACTATTAAAAGCAGTTGCAGGGCATCTGCTGCTATCTAGAAAGTGTGGCCTAGTATATCAGGCCTGGTCTAGGACTTCAGAGATTTGGGTTCTAGTCTTACCACTTGCTTGTAAGGTAACCTGAAGCATCCTTGTGCCTCTGTTTTACTCTATCTGTAAAAGTAAGGATAGTAGTGATTAGGGCCGTGTGAAGTTTTGGTCCCTGGTTCGATTCGGTGGAGATTTGACCCGATTCAGTGGCTGAATCCCTGAATCTGAATAGAATCAGAGGACCCTTTAATCTCTCTGAACCGAATTGGAAAGATTCGGTGATTTGGATATAGACACAGCTTTAAGTGTTTTTTCTACATACCTCAGGATACAGGCAGCTCATGAATGCTGTGATGCTGGGGCACATGGAGTGTCCCACAGAAGCGCGGGGGTGGTTCCGCAGTGCACTCGGCAGCAGACCCAGAAGTGGACCAGAAGCACTTCTGGTCCACTGGGGAGTGCACTGGAGGCCCCCCCCCCCAGCTTGGCAACTGGTGCCTCCTGGGTCGAGGGGAGGCACCCAGAGTCCCCCATAGCTGATTGTCAAATCAGGAGGGTGTGTGTGCATGTTGAGGAGGGGGGGGAATCCTGTGCACTCCCCAGTGGACCTGGAAGTGGAACAGAAGTACTTCCAGTCCACTTCTGGGTTCACTGCCAAACACATGGAGGGCCCCCTGCCCTCCTGTGGGATGCACCCCAGCATTGCAGTGTTCGCAAGCTGCACTGGTACCTCGAGGTATGTAAAAAAACATTTAAAGCTGTGTCTGTTTCTGAATCGCTGATTCTCCAAATCAGCTTCGTGTCTTCAGATTCGGATTTGGCCAAATCAAATCGGGGACAGTGATCCGAAACAACAAATCAAGTCACTGTCCTTGATTCAGGCTGAATCTGAATGCAATAGGGTCCACTTCACACGCCCCTAATAATGATACCTCTTTTGTCAAGCATGGTGAGGCCTATTGATTAAGAGTGCTATGTAAAAACTAGGTTTTAACAGTGGACTGGCACTAAGACTACACAAGTTATCTGGGACATCACAGGGCCAAACCCTGAGCTGGAGTAATTCAGCATAGCTCCACTGAAGTCTGAATTGCTGTGCATCAGCTGAGGATCTGACCCCTGAGGACTGAATGCACCAGTCATTAGGGAATTGACTATCACATTTAATCTACAATAAAGAGACTCAGCTAGCCTACAGACTACCCCATCTTATCTAACCACAATTGTGTTGAGTAGTCTGGGGCCCATGTAGTAGAAAGTACAATACAATACAGCCATCTGCAATCCAAGAGTGGCATTTTCCCCCCTCTAAACTGTTTAACCAGTAGGTTTTGGTATTTATGCACAGTGGAAGATTCCATTTGACACATAATCCGGCACCTGTAGACAACTGCATATATATCTGAACACAACACCAGAGACAGACTCCTATATGTTTTAGCCCCTGTATCTGTGTGGTTAGAACACTCATTTAGGCCTTTCCTCCTGAGTCCAATACCTGATAATTATAGTACCGGTCTACCTGTATTTCAGGGCCTTAAATGTCACTATGCACTCACAAGGTGTGTGCACACATGGCTGTATTTGTATGTGGCTACTGTGTAACCATGCTCAGCCTACACATGTAAGGCCCACATAGCTATATTGCTGGGCAGCAGAATTGCTCCCTGTGTGTTAATGCCAAAAAATGCTGCCCAGCCAACTAAAAAACTGTCACTTAGATGACCAAAAGGAAATAGATGGCTACCCAGAGGGTGTATCTACACAAGATGCTTTACTGCTTAGCAAACTAATTTGTTGCACAGTAAAGCATCACCATCTATACATGCGCAGTAATTAGGGAACAGTAGACTAATTTACTGTGCTGCCAGATAGTCCTGTTAGCTACAAGTGGAATCCAGCAGTGCAATAAATTACTGTGCTTAAATACAGGTATAGATAGTGACATTGGGGTTAGTTTGCTCCAGCTCAGCTTGAGCCCAAGTATATTCAATAGCATTAATTGCATGTGTAGACACACCCTCCTGCACATACACTGGATAGCTACACCAGTGCACGTGCAGTAGGGCTGTGCTAAATGGCACTGTTCCATTTCAACTTGAGGTTTTGATGGAACGGCATTTCGTTACAAATTTTATTTCAATTCAAAACAGCTGTTCCATTTTGCTTCATCGAAACAGTGATGCTGTTTCGACATTTAGCCCATTCACTATAATGGGGAAGCTTGAAACAGCCCCTCTCATTCAGCAGGCAGATGGGGGCCTGCAATCCCGAGAGGCCTTCGGGGGCTGTGCCAGTCCTCCAGGGGCTGCGGGCCCCTGATCTGCCTGCCAGATGAGGGAGGGAAGCTGGGTGCTGCTGCCTGGGACCAGGGAGCTTGGGAAGGGAACTGAGCCTGATTGCTCTGTTCACCTCCCCAGCGCTACAGTCCGGCTGGGGATGGGAACTGAGCCCATCTGGGCTGAGTTCCCATCTCCAGCACTATGATTAGGCAAGGGATGGGAACTCAGCCCAGCTGGGTTTTTGCCAGGCAAGGTTTCCAGCTGCTTTGTGGCTCTTGGCCTAGCCTCATGCACCCAGTGAGGCAGACTGTGGCGGACACCTACATGTTCAGAGGCTGCCTGGAATTAGGGCCGGTGATAGCTGACCAGTGAATGTGAGGATTCCTTCTGCCATCAAAGGTGACCTATGGCACCCTCCTCTATGCTAGTCAAGTGAGTGCTTATAACCCGGAACTGCCACCCTTCCATGTTGTGCCATGCTGCCAGCAAGGATGAAATGATCTCTCTATGTATGTAGCTGCAGTAGCCTGGGCGGTTGATATGAAGACACTGCTTTGCCCATGTATCAGCATCCCCTCTCGGTTACACTGGTTTGGTCCAAAGGAAGGGCGAGAGATGATCCATTTGGAATCAGCTACACTGCAAGAGTTGCCAATGCAGAGGAGGTCTTCCATCTGCCTGACTTCCAGGGCTCCACTCCTAGATTGGCTGCCAGCCATGGCTGAAGAGCCCAATCTGCCCTATGTGGGTGCTCTTGGCAAAAGTCCCTCGTCTGCTTTTTGATGGTATTTCTTCCATCAAGGGTTCCACTACCCTCCTGAGGCACTCATCCACCCAAAGCAATTGACACTTCCTGAGGTTGCCAGGTTAATTAACCGCCACTCAGCACTGACCAGTGAAGGTTGTACTGCAGATAGTTATAGCGGTAGCAGGTTTTCAGTCCTGACCTTACCACAATGGATGGTGTGTACAGGGTTACATTTGGGTGCACAAGTGTCAGAGAATGAGGAGAGCAAGAATATTTTCTCTAGTTCCAACTTGCAGCAGTACTTGGGAATTCAACTTGGGGAAAGAATTAATACTCTTTATTTTGCTTGTTTGTCTGCTGAGTATAGGGATGAAAATTAAGGGCTAGTTTTGAGCCTTTAACTTATACTGGTAGACATTATCTATCCAAACATTCCTATTACAATTAATGGAACCACTTCTGAGAAGCAGTTCAGCAAGGGAAGTAGGAGGCTCACAATGTAGAGTCAAATTCTGACTCTCTTCCTTATGTTCACTGAAGTCAATGAGACCTCAGATGGAATAAGGGGATACTCAGCATGATTCTGTTGTCAGGATGTGGCTGCTAATGCCTCTCTAGTGAGCGTCTCAGTCTAGTGGTCAGAACATTGGCAGGGAAGCCCAAAACATCCCAGTTCTCTTCCCTTGCTGTGTGACCTTGGTTGCATCATTAAATCATTCTGCTTTAGTGTGCTGATCTGTAACACAGGGATCCTAATACTGATATTGCAGAGCGATTTGAAGGCTAGTTAATGCCATTAATGTGTTCTGAACACTAAAAGCCAAATCATATTTCACTTTTATATGCCTCAGGACCACTTACATTGGGCAAACGTAAACCTGTACACACCACTTTTGTTACTTACACAGATGTTAGAGTCCATTTCTACCTGTGAAGCTATGGCTGCTCCTTCTGGCCATGGATACTATGTGGAGAAAGATTTTCTGATAGGTATATAACTGCAAGCTTCCATTAATGTGACTGGAGAAAAAGAGCATGATTAACTACCATAGGAGGTATGTTCACCCACCTTTTAGCTCTGTAGCCCAGGCAGAAGGAAACTGAGGTCCTAAGGCTCACCCTTACCCACAGAGATTTTGAACTTGCACTTCCCAGCAAAGTGCTGTTACTACCAGGTAAGGCCAATGCCCAGTACCATCCAGCTGTCCTCTTGAAGTTGGGAAGATACATGGCTGCAGGAGGCAAGTATAGTATTATAGAAAATTAGGGTTGGAAGGGACCACAGGAGATAGTCTAGTCCAACCCCCTGCTCAAAGCAGGACCATGCCCACTAGATTATCCCGGGCAAGGCTTTGTCTAGTGGGGTCTTAAACACCACCAAGGCTGGGTATTCCTCAACATCTCTGGGGAAACATTCCAGTGCTTTACTACCCTCTTAGTGGAAAAAGTTTATCCTAAAACATGTGAAAGGGAGCAGGGCTCAGTGAGATAGACACTGTCCTGGAAGGAAGGATGCCCTGTATTCTAGCCTCTACCTCAAGGTCTTTTCTGCATCTTGCAGAATAACATGGAGAGAGAGCAGTAGGACAGTGTCTGCCCCACTGGCAGTAGGGGAAGCAGGCAGCGTG